ACAAGAACTCCGGGGAAGAAGTGAAGTTAGTAACATGCATTAATGGGACATGAATGAGTGCAGAAAGAGAGAGAGAGGAAGAGAGGAGCTCAGTGCACCATGGGAAATCCCCCGATACAATGCATCATAGGTTTTAATATCTTAATCTACAAATAACTAGTAAAGTTACAGCTGTCAAATAAGTGTAGTGGAGTAAAAATATTATATATATAGTACAATATTTTCCTTTGAAATGTAGTGGAGAAGAAGCATTAGCAGTATATACTTAAAGTATATATATAAAGTAGCATATATTTGAAATAATCAACTAAGTTAAAATAAAAGCACTTCAGCATTTTTAACCCACAGTTTTGAGTAACTGTACTGATCAGCCACTGTCATTTTAATATAAGATTAGCTTATAACAATAATTATAGCACATATACTGCGCTACTGACATAAAGTCTGACTCCTTTCCTGAAACTGTTGCGCAAACACTGGAGACCTTTGTTAGGAGATGCTTTCCTTTGCTGCTGTAAACAGGAAGACTGGACGTGCCTAGTCGGTTCCTGATTGGACAAGTGCTTTAAAACGGTACCATGGCAACCGCAGACATAAAAAACTCGATTGGTTTACGTAGAAAAGTGGGCGGAGCTAAGTACGTGACAGCGTACAGAAAACTTTGTTAGCTGCCTGCTAACTTTGCTGCACCGACTGTTTTTGCAATGTTACTGGCTTGAAGCAGCACAAACCGCCGAAAAGTAAGACTAATCTTTTCTGTTTTCTCACAAAGGCTGATGTGGAATCTTTAACTACTGGCAAAAGACGGCTAACGTTAGTCAGCCAGCTGCTAGCTAGTGTTGTTTTAGCTAGCATCAAGCTATAGCTAACGCTGAGGCTGTATTGATCAGTCACTTTAAATCATCCGTCACTTACTTTGTTGCTGGCTTATTACACTAGCTCGTCGTTTACTTGTTAACACGAAGCCAGAGGGCGAGGGGTAAAAGGCGAAACATGCTGATAAATCACAAATCCACGTTCCTCTTTTGATAGTTTCCCCTTTTTCCAACAACCTGCGACCCCTTCATGCTATTAAAGCTCTTCACACACACACACACACACACCCCACTACTGTTCCTGTGCGGTTCTAAGTACCGCCAGCTGGTTCGCAGGCGTAGCATTCATTAGCACTCTTGTCTTACAGGATGGCGTGCGAAGGAGGGGATGATGGAGACTTCTGCAAATGGAGCAGTCTGGTAAGCACCGCTATTTCTTTTTCAAACGCATGTGAAACAAATGCATAGCGGTGGCAGTGGAAAGCTGTTGGTGAGGAACTCTGCTAACCTTACTTGTGTTTGTAGGAGGTTCTGGTGAACAGCAAAAATGAATTTGGAGCACGAGTGCAACAGTTTTTGGAGGAGAGGATGCAGACCACCATGGTAAGAAGTAACAATTCATTGACAGCCAATGCTTTTTATTAAGCAGGGAAAGCCTTGCCCTGCACACAGTGTTATGCACCAGGTTATGTGGTTTTGGGCTGGTTGTGGTCATTTACTTTTTGTACCAATTGGGCGGTTCCTACCGATGAAAGTAATCCAATATATTGGCCGCATACTATGACTTTATTTAGTCTCCTTTCCAGTCTGAACACACTAAATACTCAAAACCTGCTCAAAATCAGCATGTAGTATTTAACTGGAGCACAACTTTGGACTTTGAAGGATGATGTTTCTGAACCGGCAGCCATACTGCCCTTTGCTGTGGACAACTACACTGCAGTGCCTTTATGTGACCATACTTTTGTCGCAATGCTCTTGTCTGTCTTCTAGCTCACAGGTGTGCTTATTGGAGCTGCGGTCGCCGTCTCACTTATTGGGATTGTGGTGCTCTTTCTGTATAGGAGATTCAAGCTTGCTCGTGAGTCACCCTTCCTGAACTTCATACTTATTCTAATGCTGTAACACATATTTTTTTTTTTTTGTGTAGGTCTAATGATAAGGTTTTGTTTTGAATGTTCTTCAGAATGTGGTCTTAACATTATATGCATCTTGTTTTTGGATTCTATGAAAAGGTGGACACCAGCCCGGTGTACCTCACTACCGCTTCAGAAAACGAGATAAAGTGCTCTTCTATGGAAGGAAGATAATGCGAAAGGTTTTTTCTATTACTTTCATTTCTGTGTCACACTTGTACACAAACATTCACATTCAGGTAGATTCATTTCAGTATTATAAATAAGGTAAATAAGCAAAAAAAATTATGCTGTGTAACATTAAATTTCTACATTTTCCTTTCCATAACCACTAATGCTCCAGTCATTGTAACGCCCTCTGATATAGTTAGACGGAAGATTACTTGCATGCATTTAGCTTAGTAGTGAATGCAGGTCCTCTACCTGTTTCTATTAATTAGGTCTACACCTGAGTCTGCACACAAAACATATTGCAGTAAACAACAACAAACTTAAAAATCTTGAATATGTTTGTTTTCTTAGGTCCAGACGCTGTCTGCGATTCCTCCCCCCAACTCTACCTCAGTATCAAAGCAACCGCAGCGCATTCGCAAAAGAACCAAAGTTCTAAGCATAGCTCGCAAGTATGCTTCATTAATACATTTTAAAATGTTATTTGTCTGTGTGCAAGTGAAACCTTGAAAACAATTCTTCTGCCTTGTTTTTGTGCCCATCAACAGAATCCTGAGGATCCGTAAAGATCCTCCCACCCTGCAGCCCAAGGAACCTCCTCCCTCCCTGCTGGAGGCTGACCTAACAGAGTTTGATGTGCAGAGCTCAAACCTGCCCTCCGAGGTTCTCTACATGCTAAAGAATGTCAGGTAGACAAATGTCCAACTTTCCCTACAGATTTTGCCTCTCCCATTGTTCCTCCCTTTTGTTTCATTATGTTCTGCTACTTATTGTAGGGTCTTGGGTCACTTTGAGAAGCCTCTGTTCCTAGAGCTGTGCCGACACATGGTGTTTATCGAGCTGCAGGAGGGTGAAGGTCTGTTCAGGCCTGGAGATGATGACGATAGCATCTACGTGGTCCAGGATGGACGCCTTGAGCTCTGCATCCAAGAGAATGTATGTAGATAGCATTTTTGGTTTTCAGAGAATTTTGTCATATAGTGCTTCTTGTGCCCTTTAACATTTTATTAGTAACTCACCCATCATATTACACGCAGCCATTTGATCAATTGTTAATAAGCAAACATCTCAAATAGAGTAGCATTAAAATTGTATCTACAAGTCTCTTGTTTTTATTCTGGCAAAGTAAGTCAGTAGGACTGAGATGTGTTTAATAACTGTAACAAACATGAATCCCAGTGCTGTTTTTGATCCATTATGCTAAAACTAGGACAGGTTATCAGTAATGGTGCCTCTGATCATTAACGCTTGTGAAATTTCATCTTAATGAAGTATGAAGCAAGGGCATATGCACACTTTACTCGATGTAATGACTGTTTTATTGTCCTCTACCTTACAATGCGCATGTGCATAGCTCATGGAAAAAAACAGGAGAGGGCAGTAACGCCACATTAATCAAGATGGAGTCTGCTATTTAACAACACAAGGAGTAGAATAAAAATGATGGCTCTGTATATACACCTGTATTTAAATGTGTATTGTTGTCTGCTGCTGCCTTCTGTCAATTTGTACAAGTTATGACTGCCATCCCATTGCATAGTTTAGTTACTTTACTTTATGATTCTTTACAGTTAAGTTTGAATTAAGACTGTGTTGTTGGTAATTTCTTATCTTCCTGTTTCCTGTAGGATGGTACAGAACCAGTGGTGAAGGACGTGCACCCGGGGGACAGCGTCCACAGCCTGCTTAGTATTCTGGACATTATCACTGTGAGCTCCTTATATCTCCTTCGTCTGCACATCAGACTAACTTCCCTGCCTCCTCTTTTGTCCTTTTTGTCTCAGTTCTCTTTCTCCTCTCCATTTATATTTCCACCCATGCTTCTCTTATTTAAAAGGCAATTCTTGACTTCCTGTCCAGTTCAATTTGTATATCTATTATCTTGGTGTTCCAAGTAATTAATATAGGTATTTTGTGTTTTGTTTCTATTTCCTATCCTGTCTTGTCCATCTAGTTAAAACTCTGACAATTCAGCAAAATCAACAAATCAAAGCTTGGAAAAACTTGTAGTACATAGAAACTTTGATCAGTAATCCAAACATGAAAGTTGATGTTTACAGTTAACAGGTTTTAAAATGCAGTAAGCACCAAGTACAAGTTCATATAATAAAACTGAGAGGTGAAAAGGCTCTTGGTCCAATTGATTATTCCATGGACACTTCTAATTAGGTGGCTGTCAACACTGAAGTCAAAGATGTATATGAGTATTAGTGACCGCCCCTCTGTCTTTACTTAATTCTTTCCTTTTCTGAACTGCTTTGTCCTGACTTTGCCAGGGTTACCCAGCGCCATACAAGACAGTTTTGGCACGGGCTGCAACTCGCTCCACCATCTTGCGTTTACCTGCATCGGCCTTTGAGTCTGTGTTTAAGAAATACCCAGAGACGCTGGTTCGCGTCATTCAGGTAACAGACTGTCTTAACAGTAAATGTACGGTATCTCGTGAACCGGGGCCATCATTATAAAATAAAATTTTAAAATAATTTGGGTGTAACTACAATGTGTTGCGTTATATGTTCTGCTCTGTTTATCTCGGTGTATAATTTTGTGTGTGTTGCAGATAATCATGGTGCGCCTCCAAAGAGTCACCTTCCTGGCATTACATAACTATCTGGGTCTAACAACTGAGCTCTTCAATCCGGTAGGAGGGGAATTAATTAGTGCACACATATTTGTCTGTATACACACACAGTCACACAGAGAGGCCCTCATTGAATACCTAAGCACCACTGCTTATGAGTTTGTACACAAACAAGCACAGAAAGACACATACACACACTCCGTCTCGCACATGCAAGCTAATTTCACACAACATTAAGCACGGTATCATAACTCGGTCCTTCATAAAGCTCAGTTGAAATGAATGAGAGTGATTATACCCCTCCACAGAAAGGGTGGGCAGGGCAGTAACCTTTAACCCTTTTTTGCCTCTGACTTTACAATAATCAAAAAGACTCCTGAATTTTGTCTTTTTTGGGAAGAAATATGTGAAAGGTAATTCATTTTGCCAATTTGTAAAGGCTTAGTAAAAATATAGTGTCCCACACTGGATATTTTTTTTCTTTTCAAATCTATTATGATTATATAATGTAAGTTACATAATTAAATAATTAATAGTTACTCACTACTGTAGTCGTGACTGACTAAAATGTGGACTGTTACCTGATCTGTTTTGTTGCCTAATTGACAGGAGAGTCAGGTGGTGCCTTTGTCCAATATAAACAGTGTGATGGCAGAGACGAATTCTGCGAAGACGACTCGCCGTTTGCATTTCCAGGACGAATTACCCGCTGGGCCCACGGAGAGTCCCACTGAGACAGGTCACGCACTCGCACACACGTTATTCTAAACACACACACATTTAAAATATTGCACTGTGTTGTGCTAAGACTGAACCAGTGCTGACACTTCACTTTACAATAAACAGATGGTGCGAAGGATAGCCCTTCAAGCAGCTACAGGAAGCAGCGATCCATCTCGATGCCCACCGACTGTGCAGGTAGGTCTTGGACATAAGCGATCACCAAATGGCATATGTCGGTATTAATTTCCTGCACAGACGTATCGCATTCACTGATCTGAAAGCAAGGACACACACACACACACCCACACATATACTTCAGCTCATATTCCTTCTCCTTTGTCCTGATTTGTAGGTAATGACCTGAACATGGCTTGTGAACGAGCTCGAGTCACGATAGATGAGGCTCCATCCAGTCCCGTTACTCACAAAGTAAGTCTCTCCTTTACACTGAATCAGAATTTAAGTTGTCTAAATGGGACACCATATCCCAGCATACACTGCATCCTACACTGCTATGCTTATATTGTTCTTCCTAATAAGTCTCTCTCTTATGCCTGTGTTTGTAGTCCAGTCTGAAGAAGAGTGTGACTATGCAGCACACACCATCTGAAGTGTTTCACTACACAGACAGCGGGGGGCACTCTGATGCCATCTACCTCAGTAAGAGCAGCACAATCTTCCAGGCTGCTAAGAAGGACCTGCTGGGAATCATCCAGCTGCAGGTGAACATCAGCTCGTATAAATATTTTAGGGGTTCATAAATAGCATGTAAAAATTCATGTTTTTGGATATATTACGGTGGTAGGCCTTATACATTGGGAGAGTATCACAAAAGACGCTATTATATTATTCTGAATATATTTTGGTCGAACATTTTCTTTTTCTGCTGTAGGACCCCAGTCTACTCGAAGGCAGAGTGACCCTCCATCAAGTCAAAGCTGGTTCTGTGGTGGCTCGTCAGGGAGACCAGGTTAGAACAGCTTACAAAGCAGTTTCATGACACTGAAGATTTAATGGAGGCCTTTTTCCATTTTGGCTCTTGTCCTTTGTCACCCCTGTAGCAGTGTAGAGACATTGTAGGGACAAATGTACATGACCAGGTTCACTGGTTGAAGCTTGGGTCTTTTATGTGCTAAACTTGTTTACTTGCATCAACAAGAACATTTTAACTGCGTTCACTTATGGTATTTCAGCACAGTACTTCTTGTTCGAATGCCTGTCCTCAACCTTTTTGAGGTAGAGCAGGTCGTCCACTAATCAGAAGGTTGACGGTTCAGTCCCTGGCTTTTCCCGCTTCATGTCGAGGTGTCCTTGAGCTAGATACTGAACTCCAAATTGCTCCAGATTCTGTGCAATGGTGTATGAATATGAATGAGTTTGTGATGGCCTTTGCCATCACTGTACAAATGTGTGTCATTGGGTGAATATGGCATGTATAAAGCACTTTGGGTGGTTGGAAGACTAGAAAGGCACAATATAAAAGTACAGTCCATTTACCTTTTTTATGTTTAATTTGGCTGCAACAAATGTGACCATCAGCCACTCACAAAGGACAAAGGCCTAAACCAAGCTACCCAAAAAAAATCAAATAAGATTTTAATCTTTTCTTTTCAAGCTTAAGGCAGTTTGGTCCGCTCAGCTGCGCACATTTTTGATGACTTGAAATATCTTGCAAGACTTTGTGTCATTTGCAAACCAATTATTTTTGTCTCAACTTACATGCTCAAATGATAATTTCTTGTCTCTCCATATAATTTTACATTGATAAAAGTATCAGTATCAATATCAAGATGATGATGCTCACGGTTCTCGTATCTAAATGAGATGAAATTATGCCGCATTAAATACCACAAAAAAAGATTTTATTTAACTCAAGATAAAGAAGAGTTAACATTTTTACCATGTTGTTTGTTAAAAGTCCTAACATATCAACGATGAACTAATGCTATGATAATTAACTTTGTGTCCCATAGCACACCAGAATGTTGACATTCACCTTCAGACTGTAAAATCTGTGCTCTTGTCTCTTCTCCCTCCTCTCGGTTTTTTTAGGAGGTGAGCATACAGTTTGTGATTTCTGGCCTCCTCCATGTTTACCAGCGGATGATTGACCGTGAAGAGGAGACGCGTCTGTTTGTGACACACCCTGGAGAGCTTGTCGGTCAACTTGCTGTCTTGACCGGAGAGCCCCTCATATTCACAGTTCGAGCCCAGCGAGACTGCAGCTTCCTCTCCATTTCCAAAACCCACTTCTATGAGTTAGTCACACCGACACACCCGCACACACCCTTTCATGCAGAAATATGTACTCAATATATGAAGTCTATTCTATACTGCCTTCCAAAGGCCAGAGAGCAATAACTAAAGATACAACGAGGTTTGAAGGCTCTTAGCCAAACTATATTGCAAATATACAAGTTGTAAACCCTTCATTGTATGCCTCTTTATGCTGATTATTTATAACTGTCACAGACCATACATAAAATCTAAACAGCATTAAAATAAACTGTGGTCTGTTTGGACCATCTAAAGGCTGCTAGGAAAACAAAATGTGTCGTCTTTAGCTTTCTTGTTCATTTTAATAAGGAGATAATAAATAAAAGAATGTGATGTGAATGTGAAGGTTGTCCAACTACATGAAATCAAGTGAATTCAACAAGAGTCAGAGGCTACTCTGCTAAGCTAGGCTAGTTGACTTTTAGCTAGTTTGCTTTTGACAGGACTAGTTAATTTTATTCCCTCTTCGGGGGCTCTAAATTAGTAAAGTATCTACTGTTCACTGCGGTTTGATTTTTTTTTTTATGTTTCCCTATGTTTAAATGCTGTTTTTTTTCCTATAAAATTACACATTTCTATAGTAAGATATTTTATGAATATATGACAATTTTTTGGCCAAATACGTAGTTCACGAGTTTCGCCTTTGTAGGGCAGTGTAGACAAAAAAAAAACAACAAACAAATGTTGAGCAATGAGAATGATTTGTTAGTTTTCTTTTACTTTCTATTTCTGTTATTTATGTCTATTCCTGTCTATTTTAGGATAATGCGTGTGGAGCCAAAGGTCGTGCTGAATGTGGCTCACACTGTGGTGAGGAGGATGTCGTCTTTTGTCCGACAGATAGACTTTGCTCTCGACTGGATGGCCGTGGAAGCTGGCAGGGCTGTCTACAGGTATTCTACTAATCACCTTTTATATATCTTGGAAAAATGTGATTATTAAAAATAGATTCTACAAGCTTGCTGCATATTTGCAGTAAATAGAAGTTATCTGTATATTTTCAGGCAGGGAGAGAAATCAGACAGTACTTTCATAGTGCTGAGTGGTCGACTGCGTTCTGTAATCATGAAGGAGGATGGCAAGAAGGAGCTGATAGGAGAGTACGGGCGCGGTGACCTGATTGGAGTGGTAAGGAACATGATGGCGAGGGGGGATGACAGATGGTGGATAGTAGATGAAAAACTATGAATGTGTGCACCGTGTGAAGATTTCTTTCACTCACTAGTATGCTCATAAATATTAATGACTGTATATCAGGATAAACGAATTTTCTCCAAAGTCTGTCACAAATTGGTTGATTTAAATATGCATGAGGAAAAGAGTTTGTTATTAACAGAAGTTAATCATCACAATCATAGCATATTCATTGTCAGTATGCACAGTTAAAACAGGGGCTGCCAGTATGCATTACCATGAGACTACAACTAAAACAAACCTCAACTAACTACATCTTATGAATCTTAAGGGGGAAAAAGTAACAAAACAGCCAGCTGAAATTGAATTTAAATATAAATAATCAATATATCATTTGAATTTGTATTATCTTTATATCTAAAGAGGGGGAAAACATCAACAACTCCCAATTAAATGTAACCCATAAATGTAACCTTTTATTGTTTCAATTTAGACCTTACTTTACCTTTTTCTCAGGCTCTAAACACACAAGAATTTTATATTGAGTATCTGTTAAACTCTCCAGCATATCAGTACATTTACCAAGAAGACAACACTTGTTAACGTATTTCCCGGTGTTGTCCCTCGTGGGTTAACGTTGAAAAATAAACTAATGCGAGGACTGTTTTCTGACTTTTCATTTTGATAAAGTATATAAAGCAAAGTCACTTTGTTACACTTCACTCACTTCCCCATTGGCTGGTGGTGAGGCTGTTCTCTGCCATGATGCTTCTAATAATACCTGGGTTGATGGATGCTATGGTTACTGTTACCTGGAGGAGGGAAACTGTCGTCGCAGAGTCTGTGAGGGTGGGGATAAGATTGTTATGGCTAACATTCAGAGACATATTTAGCACGGCTGTGTTGACGTCAACTCTGGATGATGAAATCTTATTTATAGCTCTTTTTCATAAAAAAAAAAAAAAAAAGTTTTAAGTTAACTCTGAAATTCTTTGAAGTAACAATACAATGCTCTTCATTCACTTTAATGACATACATTTTTCTGTAAAGTATCTATCTTGAAGTGAAGATTTATTTGGTAGTACATTATGTTATGTGTTGTAATGTTCAGGAATGACTGGGGCTTCTTTTTACTTTTTATGGACCGTTTTTTGTGATGTGTCCTTGGTTTCTCTGCAGGTGGAGGCCCTGACCCATCAGAACAGAGCCACCACAGTGCACGCTGTACGAGACTCTGAGCTGGCCAACCTACCACAGGGAGCTCTCAGCTCCATCAAGAGGAAGTACCCACAGGTTTGGTGAACTGATGTCAAAACACAATTCATTTTTTTGTAGACGGAGCATATGCGTGTAGTGATTTCCAAAAGGTCAGCTTTAAAAAAGAGTTGATTGAACCTAGCCCCTGACAATGAGCATTTGATTAATTGATGAACTGGACAATAATATGGGTAAAGGTTCCCAAAAGTATTCCTTTTTACTTTTCTTAAAATTTTAATACAGATGAAGCATTGCTATGTACACGGTATCTGTCTGATGAGTAACACAGTCACTTTATAAACATGTTTGCGCCTCTCAGGTTGTCACCAGGTTGATCCACCTTCTAGGACAGAAGATCCTCCAGCAGGTCAACGGTCCTCTCACAGGTGTGTGCGTCTATATGTGCATCTCCCTGGCCTGCAGGGTTCTCCCACTGGTGTTGGTGTTTGTCTCAACTTACTGTTTAAGTGGAGGTTTACTAATATGTACTAATACTAATATTTACCATGTCCCCAGCTCGCAGTTTGGCCCTCCATACACCTGGCAGTAAGTGGGATGTGGGAAACCCAGCCTCCAACCTCTCCACTGTGACAGTCCTGCCTGTATCGGAAGAGGTACCTCTCACTGCCTTTACCCTGGAGCTGCAGCATGCACTCATTGCAATAGGTAAGAAAAAAGGAGCTCAAATTTACCTCGTGTAGGTTTTACTGTCAACCTCCACACAGACGTCAGAGCTCTGATCCTGGTTGGTCTTTATAAACATCTGGTCACCTTACAGCTATAACAGGCATGGACACAAACTGGCGTGTGATTTGTCTGGTTGTCTTGTATTAGGTACTCCTTGCTATGATTTGACTTCTCTGGCTCTTCCCTTGTAGATTCATTTTAGATGTCTTGTTTACTCCAGTCTTAAATCTGGGACGGTATTCTCAGGACAGTTCCTCTGTGTGTGCTTTGGGTCAAATAAGATAACCAGAGTCAATTCATATCGAATAAATGAAATTAGGTTCTCATTACAACAAAAGCATTTAAGGCTTTAGGGAGTGACAGTAAGAGGGGCGAGAGACCTGGCTTATGTGTGTTTTTAGATTTGTTTTATTGTAATATTTTGATTAAAAGCACTTCACCAATAGCAAAGTGGTGCATGTTTGACTTAAAAAGATCTGATCTGATTAAAGGTCTCCCTAGAGTAATCAAGGAAGTTACATTGAGAGTACTTACTTTGTATTCATTTTTAAGAAACTATGATTTTTTTTCTTAAAACTGCAGATAAAAGTAGCAGCACCTTAAGATATGTCACCTGTCTTGTCTGATCAAGTTCTTCAACCAGACATATTAACTGAAGTTTCACACACAGGCCCCACTCTTCTGCTGACCAGTGATGTTATCAAACAGCGACTTGGAGCTGCAGCACTAGACAGGTATGTTTTGTGACAGACTCAAAATTTGCACCCCTAAGTAAAATCATAGTCTTAAACCTTCCATCACCTAATCTTTCCCATTGTCATACCACTGGTTGGTCTTTATAAGTTTTTCTTGCCGTCTTTCTGACTCGCTCATTAAATTCAGTTCAAGTATGCTTTCTTGGCACAGCAAGAAAAATGGATCTACTGTGTGCTGCCAGCTAGGCAATTCCGCCTGTCATTAATGGACTCTTTTCTTCCTCAGTGTCCACGAGTACCGTCTGTCCAGCTGGCTGGGCCAACAGGAAGACATCCATCGCATAGTTCTTTACCAGACGGACTACACACTGACCCCATGGACACAGCGGTGCATCCGCCAGGCTGACTGCATTATTATCGTGGGACTAGGAGAGCAGGACCCTGCCGTTGGGGAGGTGAGAATTATTTGTTTGTTCTATGAAACCTGAATAAAATGGTGAAGGGGCCGACTTTTACTTTTGCTCTACCAACTGTAGCTCCCAAATGCTCCACTATGTTCACCAGATAGTCACCAACTTTGTCTGTCGGCTGTGTGTTGCTGAGCAGGTAGTGTACAGTGGGTTTTTTAGAGCTTTTTCTCTAAAAATAACTGCTTGCTGAGGCTGAAAATGACACTCTGAGAGTGGTGAGAGGGTATTAGAACAGTGAAGTTAAGAGCTGTACAGCTAAGCAATGACGTGACACTCACTCAGATTCAGGTCATTATTCTAAACAAGTGACCCCTCACCTCTTTTTTTGTTGTTATCGATTAATCCCATGAAAAGACCAAAAACTAACAATGCATTAGTCTGATTCTCAGTCATTGGCGCTTCACCTCAAATTACTTTAAAACCAGTAAAGAATAAATTATTTCACTTTTAAAACCTCTGTACAACCTATGGCATTCACAACTGCAGCATTTTAGTCATTAATTACTTGACTAGTTGATTAACGATCGGAGATGTATCCGTTTTTTCAATAACAATCAATTCTTGTCAAAAAGGTCTCAGATTGTCACTGCTTTATTACATTTATTTGTACAAACAGTGCTTGACTGACATCTTCCTCACTCTTCCGTTGTTGTGTTTTTGTACCTATTAGGGCAGGGCAGGACATCATCATGTAATTCCCAGCATAGCTTCACCCAGCTTCTACCTTACTAGAGGTCTAATCTAATCACCTGTGTGGTTGTCGGAGCCTTTAATTTAATTTCCTTCCCTAAAACAGTTGGGGAATGTAGTGTTAAAGCCAATGTTACTCAAACAGGAGTAATTATTGTATTTGTTGGGGAATATTTACAGTGGCAGATTTGGTGTGCTAGTATAGAGTATTTACTGCAGCAGGATGGTGTAGTAAATACTCAGGGTTGATTCAAAATAAACTGCAGTGCCCATGTTCCTGGAGGTGAAGGAACATGTCACCCAGAGCAACGGTGTGGCTCACTGATGTGTTTGTAATTTTTGTAAGGTCTATTGCACAGAAAAATAAACTCTATCAGTCTTCGGATACACATAATAATAATTATTGTTAGCAGGATCAATTCATTGTTAGTTTTGGTCTTAATGTGGGATTTCTTGACTGTAAGAACAACGCTAGACTTATCCTTTTACTACTCTTAAACAATGTTGTTGATAAATGTCTTTGTCGACTAACCTGCCCAGCACTAGATTGTTGTCTGGAACTGAAAACCTGAACCTCTTGTAAGGCTGGAGGCAAATAAACACATCATGGGTTATTGGTCCGTGTTACATTTGACCAGATTGAACTGGTAGGATTTTTCTCTCCTGAGAAATCATCACACCAGTTATTATTATTATTAACACAGGTCTTGTTCGGTCTGCAAATGTGTCATCAGGCAAAGATCTTGGTAGTGTGTGATTTGATATTACGGTCCGTGCTGATCATTATGCTCCTGAGTCATGGTCATACGCAGTGGTTTTACCAACTTAATGGTCACACGGGCTGTGAAAGGTTTGTATTTGACCCTTGGGCATATAGCAGAAATGAGCAAAAAGGTGGATGGATGTTGTGAAAGAGGGGAGGGGTTGGAAAGAAAGGAGGTGTTCGTCCAGCTTATGAAGGAAAGGTAATTGGCTTCAAAGGGGAAAATAGGCACAGAGAAAAGTAAGGAATGTATCCCCGTTTAACAGGAGATGGTGGGAGAAATGATCAATATTTGCTCAGCCTCAGAATGAGTCATAGCTCTGGGTTGATTTCATCTTTCAGGGCACACACGCACACAAACACCCTCTCACCTTGCACGCACACTAAACAGAGGGCCTGTTGACTAGGTGGCAGATCTGACCTTCCTCTCAGACTTTTTAGGGTTTTTTTAAGACTGCTAATTCAGGAGTGTCCTATAATAAACCTGCCTCAGCCAGGATAAATATAATATTAAAAAGGAAAATGTAATAAAACATTTATTTCTCAGATAACCTTCCCATTCTGCTTTTATCGCTCAACCTGCTACCCAAAATTTGCTAATATAATGAATAATTACAGTCGATGTTTTCACATATAGTGGTATATTTCAAAATAAGACTCTGAAAACACATTATTCCCAATCAAAAACATGAAATTGCAATCTTCACATACTGTATCTGCACACGTGCTGGTATTGTGCTCACTAGTAGTCACGAGTTTGCAGTGTTTTTCTGGGCTAGCATTCAAACTTCTGTGTAAGCACATAGAAGAAAAAGGGAAGAATGAAATGTTCTAAAACATCTGTGCTCTATGTCCTCTAGCTGGAGCGTATGTTGGAAGGAAGTGCAGTGCGTGCCCAGAAGCAGCTGGTGCTGTTGCACAGAGAAGACGGCCCCCCGCCCAAAGGAACTGTGGACTGGCTTAACATGCGAAGCTGGATCTCCCGACACCTCCACCTCTCCTGTCCCCGAAGGGTCTTCTCTAAGAGGAGCCTGCCCAAACTGGTAGGACTGTTGTTCTCCTCTCCTCTCTCCTCGTCGCCTCCTCTCTCCTCCCCCACCCGTTTCTCTCTCTCCTCCTCTCCTCCTCTCAAATCCTCTGTCTCCTCTCCTCTTCCGTTCCTCCCCCCCCCCCTCCCCGTCCCTTCCCCGCCTGAGGTTGGGTAGAGATGATTGGAGAAGGGTGTTCTGAAGAGATGGGCAGGAGGAGGGTTGGAGGGGGTTGGAAAGCTGGGTCGGGGTTTGTGCGAGAGATAGGTAGGAGCGTTCATTTTTCACATTAGTGGGAAGAAGGACAGGTAGTGGGCGCTGGCGGGTGTGTGTTCTGGGGGCGGCGCGTTACTGCGTGGGTTGGATGTGAGGTTGAGGGGTTGGGATGCGTCTTTGTTGGGGCGGGGGTTGCGGGTGGAGCGGGGGGCGGTAGTCAAGGAACGCCTAGGACATTTGTCGGGAAAAATTGCGAGCACAGCGCCCCCCATTCTCAATCTCAGGTCTCTCTCTCTCTCCCTATCTCTCTCTCTCTCTCTCTCTCTCTCTCCTTCTCTCTCTCTCGTCCTTCCTTCCTTTCCTTCCTCTTCCTTCCTTCTTCCTTCCTTCCTTCCCTTCCTTCCTTCCTTCCTTCCTTTGTGCCTTCTGGCTGTTCTCTTAGCCTCTCCATTGAGTATCTTTCTCATAATTTTTATTCCTCTCCATTCAAGGTCCTTCTCCAGTCCCTGTCGATCAACACTCATTCCCCTTTTTCCCCCACCATTATTGAGTTGTATCAAACGTGTTTTTAGAAGCCAGCAGAACCGCCACTGCGCTTCTCCCTGGCTCCGAGTCCTCACCGTGCAATGCATATTGCATTAATCCTAGGGAAGGAGGGCTAGGTACGCCGCCCCAGCACAACTGTCTTCACCATCAAAGTCATGGCATAGTGTACTATCATCAAGGACATCAACTTTTATATATATTTAAAAAAAGAACATAGTATTTGTGGTTAAAAAGTAAAATTTCTCCATCCTTGTGTACAGGGGCTGTTCCCAGGTGGGGGTAATGCGAGCCATCTGTGAGTCCGGTATTCCAGTGGACCTCATTGGTGGCACCTCTATCGGTTCCCTGATGGGGGCACTTTATGCTGAGGACCGCAGCTACAGCCGCATGAGGATGAGGGCCAAAGAATGGGCAATGGTGAGAGTCAAAATAACATTAGTGTTGTAATAAAGCCAAATATTAGTATTAGTCAATATTTTAATCTCAAATCTATCAAATAGGTTTTTTGAATTTTATCCCATACATTAATACTTATAGCTCCCTGTACACGGCTTATAGAAATAAATTAATAATGATGCATTTTTGTTTAAAGGAAAATCTCATTGTCTATTAGGTAGTCAATCATGCCAAACATACAAATGCGAGTCTGCCCTTCTAAAGGCGACTCTTTCTAACTGCACTTTTTGGAATTTGAATGAAGTTCAGGCTTTTATTCTACTTTTCACCACTCTGTGCTGATTGTTGTAATGATAATAATAATGAAATTCATCCGTAAGTCTTTAATACCATGATCATCCATGACGGCTAATTTGAGACACCTGCAGAGCATGTGGTACGATTCGTTTTCCCATAGTGGGTGCTGTTCATTATGTTAACGTGTCTCCTCGCTTCCTTTCCTCGCGTCTCAGCTCCTACCAGCGAGGGCGTGAGAGAGAAATGCAAGAAGCGAGGACGGAGGAGCTGAAGCTGCCGTAGCGTTAGTCTTAAGCGTCGTCAGTTACTAATGACATGGTACAGCTGTATCACCTGTCAGACCGCCTGGTACGAATGTAGTTATTTAAAAACAATTCTAAAACCTTGCTGTTATCATCTAGATATGTAGATTGTTAGATATGATACATGATTATATTGTGAAATTTAAAATTGCTACTTTGTGTGATGCCACCACACTTTGCATCTCACCTTGTAAGTGTGTTCTATTATATTACCTGAATATGTATAGCTCCCTGTACACGGCTATAGAAATAAACGTTAAGAATGATTGCATTTTGTTTAGGACAAGCTATTGTCTATTAGGTAGTCAATCATGCCAAAAATACAAATAGCACTCGTGGAGGTATTTTTACATCACGACCCGCCACTTGATTAAAGCCTTCTGCATAGGATATGATCTAAGCTCCTCCTCTCTCGAAGTGCATTTAAGCTGTTGTCAGATCCTTCATGATGGCAGAGGAAGAACGATTTCCAGGTCCTGGGAGAAGAGAGGCAAGGAAGCATACGTTGGCCTAATGAAAAACACCTTGTGTGTCCAGCACCTCCTCTTCTGGCTCTGTCCTTGGTTCTGAAACCATCTAGAAGCAGGCGGCTGGGTTGCTGCTCCTTCATATCCAAATAAAAGAACCACTGTTGTAATAAAATGTTTGTCCTTGTCCAAAGAGTCAGAATAGGACGGTTTGCTCTGTTGAAATGTTGTTGTTTTTTTTATGAGGAGTGACTTTTTCAAATTACTAAAAAGAATGTGGACAGGACAAGGAGGAAGATAAGAGATAAAACTTTAATTTTGAGGGATTCATTCTGCTTTGTAACACAGGAAACAGCTTCTTTCCCCTACAGAAATGCAACATCCCTTTGACCTTTCTTTCTGCTTCTTCCCCTGTAGGAAATGACTTCAGTGTACAAAAAGGTTCTGGATTTGACGTACCCTGTCACCTCCATGTTCTCCGGTGCTGCCTTCAACTCCAGCATCAGCAATGTCTTCAAGAGCAAGCAGATTGAAGTGAGTGAAATGGGGACTACTGGAAGAGAGCACATACATGGCAATTGATTTAGTTTTAGCATATAAACATCCAGAAATGTCTGCTGGTGGTGCAGGATAAGTAAATGTATCTGTTTCGATGTAACCTTTTGTATATGCAGGACCTTTGGATACCATATTTCAATATCACTACTGACATCACTGCCTCGGCCATGAGAGTACACACTGATGGTAGGTTTCTTTTTAATTTTATTTGAAAGAATCCTTTTTTCTTGTTTGTTTAAAGAGTCAGTTCAACCAAATGACAAAAAAGAAAAAGTTTTCTTACCTGAAGTGATCTCTAGCCATGCACATAGAGATTTCTGCCACCGTTGTCCTGACTGGTGAACTGCCCCTTCTTATCAGTCTCACTGATGAGTTTAATTTTCTGTTGGTTCAGGTTGGTTGCTTGCAATTAAATACATAGTGCTTAATAGGCATAACACTAAAAAGGGTTGCCTGTTTTTTGTTTTAGGTTCTTTGTGGCGGTATGTCCGAGCCAGCATGTCTCTATCTGGGTATCTGCCTCCTCTCTGTGACCCCAAAGATGGACACCTGCTGATGGACGGAGGCTACATCAACAACCTGCCAGGTTAACTACAGTCACTGTTTTCAGTTTTAATAGTCTGGCATTCTTTATCCCGGTGCTTAATCGTGTTTTTTTTTTTTTGCAATTTTACCATCTCTGTGGGATTATTTCACAAAGCTTTCTTTTCCTGCCCCACCTTTGTCTCTTGTTTCTTCCTCTTCTCCCAGCTGATGTGGCGCGCTCCATGGGGGCCAAAGTGGTGATAGCTATTGACGTGGGCAGCCGGGATGAAACCAACCTCACTAATTATGGCGACTCCCTCTCAGGCTGGTGGCTGCTATGGAAACGCTTCAACCCCCTAGCGGAGAAAGTAAAGGTAATGGATTGATTAAAAATAAAGACACAGCAGACTGTGCAAGGATGCGTAAAAGTAAATGAGTCCTATGAATAACAATGAGGATATTTTTGCAGGTGTTTTTCAGTGATGCATATGTTCTTTTCTGCACTGTCGGGTCTTAGGTGTTGAACATGGCAGAGATTCAGACTCGGCTGGCCTATGTATGCTGTGTCAGGCAGCTGGAGTCTGTGAAGAACAGTGACTACTGTGAGTACATCAGACCTCCAATCGACAGATACCGGACTCTGGAGTTTGGCAAGTTTGATGAAATTGCTGTAAGTTTGATAAATGTGATGTTGTCCTGAGATTGTGATATTGTTTTCTTTTCAGCTGTTTATCTCTTTGTCTTAATGAGTTAAAAAATATTTCACTAACAAATATCAGACAAATTCTAATATGATAAAGGTATTTTGAATAAATTTATACTTTACATTTAATGATTTTCCCCATCAGTAGAGAAAATGATATTGATCTATGTGTTTGAAATGCAGGAGGTGGGATACCAGCACGGAAAGACTGTTTTTGACGTGTGGGGTCGCAGTGGAGTGGTGGAGAAAATGTTGAAAGACAGACACCAGGAGGACTTCCACAACACCCAAAGCAAGAACAATGTAAGGATGGAGGGAGGCAAAAACATGTGGGAATGCTGTAGAAAATATGACAGGAAGGGGAGTAAGGAGAGTTAAGAGCACTGCACATAATCACATTTTGTCTAGGTTTTGCTACCAAACTGAGTGGTGAAAAATTAGCTCACAAACACATGCCGTCCTGTTATTAAATTTTTTTAATTCCTTAGAAGTAAAAACAAACACTTACATCGACACTGATAAATCTAGCATTGAATTGTAACACATTCCTACGCAACAAATGTTAGATCTTCACTATAAATGATCTTAAATCTGATTGAACTTTCAATACACTTTTCAATACAATATCAATAAGTAGCCCTATATTGAATCTCACAAGTCATCAACAACACCCTACATTACTATATCCAATGTGAACAAACCATATACACATAATGAGCACAATAGCGAGTATTAATCCACTACAGTCAATATAGCCGTTAAACAGAATCTATCAGGAAATGATCGTTAATTCACATCGTCTTGGGATTGGTCAGTATCTGACATCTCATTTGCAGTCCATGCATTTTTAATCAACAACATTGCTCTACATATTGATTGATTTTCTCTTGTTATTGTTTCTACAGTATGTCCACATTGTGAGCCACATTTTGTTGTCAAAAGCCTTATGTTTGTAAGCCTTGGGCTGCACTGCTGTTAAAGCAATAAGATTACAACTATGCATCAGTCTGCGCCTAAAGTACAGAGAAACAGATTTACGGAACCCCAGTTGTTCCCCGGCAAGGTCAAAAAAAGACAAAGGACCTGATGAAACAAGGGAGGAGAGGGAATGATGAAGAAAGATGAGATATTTACTCCCATCTTGAGCAACGACATTAGGAAGGATGAAAGGGGGGAAATAGCAGGGTTGATATTGAAAGAAGTTGTTACAGCCCCAAAGCCACAAACTACCAAATGAGCAATTGTGGATAGAACGATGGAGCTACAGTCACAGTTGCAGATTTGAAACTGTAATCTTTAAGTCTTATAAATAAATCTTTAAAACAATAGCCATCCCACATAGACTGTTAATGAGCGCATTTCTATTTTCAGGTGCTACAGTAGGGTGCAACTCTCTGGGGAAATAATGCATCTCTTCCTGTGATGGAGTCCACATAATATGTTCAGTTGCACAAAATGCAAAACAGGGAAAGAGAAAAACTGGTGTCAGAGATCTTAAAACAAAAGGTTTCAAAATTTTGTGTGGACAAAGCTAAAACAAAATCAGGAAAATGATAGAGGTTAAGATCCAGAATAAACTCAGGAATCATTAAATGGTTAAATGTAACAGCACCAGCATGTGACACTGAAGAACTGTGTGTGTCTGTCTGTGTGTATGTGTGTGTGTCTGTATGTGTTTGTGTTTCAGGTGGTAACGTGTCCCAATGCCTCCTTCACTGACCTGGCAGAAATTGTATCCCGCATCGAGCCCGTCAAACCTCCTCTGGTGCATGGTAAAACTACTGACACACGCTCCAACACTCTCACATGTGTACCCACAGTGTCGGGGATAAGGCATGTTTTTCCGTGCTCACTCTTTTTTTTTTTGTTGTTGTTTTTGGATGGGCTTTTATTTTCCTGCAGAATACATTTTAGCAATGTTGTGTTATACTGTACACATGCAGGTTTGGACATTTGGACAATTTGCAGAGGTCCTACTTCCCATCAGTATTTGCAATGAAATAGAAATAATCAACATATTAAAATGATATTTTTAAGTGCAACCTAATACAACAACCAATGTTTCTCTCAGACATCACCATCCTTCTCAGTCTTTCTCTTCTATTTATAACCTATTTGTCATCCATCACTCATCTAACTGCCCTGTTTTTCTTTTCACAATGTTGCACATTTTTCCTTTTCTGACTCATTCACCTGCACACCCACTTTCATTTGTCACCTCTTCTGTGCACCGCATATTCCACTTATTCACCCACAATGTGCTTCTTTCCTTCCTGTCCTCTGCTCTCCCCTTCCCGCCTTTAGAGGAGTCAGACAACCACACTGACTATGAAGAGGAGGCATTGGAGAGCGCTCTATCTGACATGGAGCTATACAATCGCTATGGAGAGCACACTGAAGGGGAGGAGACTGGTGACACGGTGCGAACCACTAGATATGAGGGTGGACACGATGGGGTTTCAGCACTTCAGTAGCTTTTGCATTTTAGTCTTGTCTAAAACAAGTGTGTCAAACTGTAAATGTATACCTCTCCACATTGTAATGACTTTTAGAGTATCATCCTGGAGCCAGGCCAGTTCATGCTTTAAAAGTGATCAATAATCTCATAAAATATATTCTAAAATTAATTGGATGACACTGTAAGGGTCAGCTAATTAAACTAAAATGAAATGTTTTAGTTCTAGTTAAACGCCAAGGCCTTGGAAAGTTGTAGGGCTATGACTTTGAGTCAAAAATAAGAGGATTTTCTGTAGTTAAGACTTGATTAAGCACTGAATGTTTTCCAAATCAGACCAAAGAATTGTATATTCCAGCCTATATAGGGTGCAGTTCTACTGGAATAACTGTACTGTCTGTCTAGAAGTGTTTAAAAAAAGAATAAAACCTGCTAAGCTATAGGTAAAGTGAAGGGTCTCCTATTTAGGTTGAAAAGACTAAAACACAAAACAACTGAGACAAATGTCAGTGGTTGTTACAATGTCTCGTATATGTTGAATTAAGGTGTTGTGATCAGTTGTCAAAAGGGGGCTCAAACGTCAAGTGACATTGGTATAGAGCTAATGTCTCAGCCTGACTCTGTAAAGCTGTGTTGGTACATACATCCAAACTTGGGCTTTATGGAAAAAAAACAGGAAGGGAACAAAATGAAAGGAAATTACCAATCAGGGCCATGCATCACATTAGCCTCATAGTAGCGTTATAATTTGATAGGATGTGTAGAATATTATTCTAATAAAATGTATTTGTCCTGTAAATGTAAAAGTCCTCTTCTCTTCACCGAAAAATAACGGTATTTCTGATTCTCAGGATGAAGAGCTGGAAGGAAGACAAGCACGCCATATTACCTCACTCACCAGCAGCCACCCTCAGTCCCCCAACATCTCCGACTGCCCAACGGACATGCTGCCAAGCCATGGAGATCCGTCCAAACAGTCCATTAAGTGAAGACAGGTCTAATGAACTCTGCCCCAAACAGGTCATCACAATTTAACCTGCCTGTCTTTACCCTCCCGCCTGTCCCACATGAATCTGTTTGCCCCTGAGACTGTCAGCATGACTGTGATTACCATTTTGCCCTCCGTAACCTGGCCTCTTTAGCTGTGTGGCTGACATTACAAATGGACGGCCCCTTTAGAAAACAAAAAACAAAAGATGGAATACAGGCAGCTAGTAACACATTTACTCAGCTGCAGATCCTATGCATTCCTATTACACAAGAGCAGCTGTAAGTCCAATCCTTTCTCATATTGAGATCGTCAAGATTAGTTTCTGTTTCTCTACATGAATCACACCAATCCAGTGGAAGATAGAAGGTAGGGAAGGTGAGGAGATAGTATTTGAAATATTTATTACATGAACCCAGGTGAAAATGATAAATCTTGGTTAAAACACAGATTTGAGGACTTTCAACCAGATTTGAGATAGTTAGTCAGTTCACCTAAATTACAAAATAGCTTTTTTTTTTTCTCTGTTATCTCTACACACAGTTATATGATTTGTTTTCGACACGCCCATCTCTGAGATTTCTGCCACACACAGCATTAAAGGATTACACGAAACAATCCAAAAAGATTAAAGGGATAAGAGGGGGGGGGGGGGGGGGAATTGCACAAAACGATGTTTATTTTTCTGTCCTTTTCTTTTCAAAATACTTAAAATGAAAACAGCCCAAGAAGGCAAAATCCCTCTCTGGTTGACCTACTCACTGCTCCTTTCTGCAGTGATGCCATAACTTTTGATGAGGGGTCACAAGTAGATCTGACTTTATTTTAAGAGCCAAATAACTTATAGACACACAGTGTCGACAGTTTTCATTGGGACTCAGTTGAAAGTAGATCCAGTGCAGACAGTTGACCGTGAGGTTGTCCTGTGTATCGGTGACACTCTTTCTGATGACTGATAAGCTGAATTATTTTAATGCAGTCTCGGGCACGGATGTTTTAATACCTAAACTATGTGCATGGCTTGATACCACTAGAACAAAGAGAAATACACCTTTTGTTGCTGAGCTGAGCTAATTACAGCAAACAATTATTCATGTGGGTCATGGGCATGAGAGTATGTATTGTTGTATTAAAATCAGACCCTACCCTCGAATGTTACACACTCTATAGTCTATGTAATGATCCTCACTAACACAAGACTAATTTAAAACCAGAAAGAGAGCAAAACAAGCAGCACTCTGTGGCCATGGCTGTCAGCACAGTTTTGTTGTACCCTGTGTGCCAGGGACATGGAGGGAAGTAATGATTGCAATCCACTTCAAAGCACTACTCTCCCTCTCAGCTGACGAGACGGCCTCCACCCCCATCTGTTTTTTGGCTTGAATCTGTCACACGCAGACTGAGCAGCAGGCAGCGTGGATCTGTCGGGTGAACTCGGAAACGCCGCTCGTCCCAGTACAGTTTATGCACAGCGGCTATTTGCAGCAGCAGGGCAGTTCTTCACAGGAACATGTTGTAACACAAGTTATTTTGCCTGTCTAAACAAGTTTTTTTTTTTAATTTATTTATTTTTTTTATTTATTTTTTCCCCTCTTGTTATTTGGATCTTATTTTTCTTCTGAGACTGCAAGCACAAAAAAACTGGTTAACAATTATATATTTTCATATGTAATCCAAGAATGTGCACAAACTAAGCCCTAGAAGTCACAACAGCTGGACAATCATTCCAGACATGCAATGCAATGCACGACTAAACTAACAAATACATACATAGTTACAGAGCCTTGTTTAACATACATCTCTGTATGACACTATACAATTTCTATAGTTAACCTAATTTCAATCACAACTAGGGCTGTAACACTAACGATTCATTTCATTATCGATTAATTTCATGATTCCATTTTTCAATTAACAGATTAATGTTTTGGTGTATAAAAAGTGTGTATTGAAAAGTGTTCAAAGTGTGAAATGTGTTGCTAGCCCAAGGTGACAATTGTACTTTTTGTCTGACCAACAGTCCAAAGCCCAAAGATATTCAGTTTAATATAAAGTAATTCCAGGAAAATAAACAAATCCTCACATTTGAGAGGCTGGAACCACACCATCAAATGTGCTTGATGAACGGCCTAAACAATTAACTGATTTTTAAAGCAGTTGGTGATTAGTTTTCTGCTGTTTTCACTAATTGTTTCAGCTCTAATCGCAGCATTACCAGAGGCCTAATAATACTGCATAACAAACATCCTTTAGATTTTTATTTTTTTTAAAGCATTGTGACCGATATGTACTGAGTGGGGCATTTTTCAGTTACTTATTGGCCGATGTTAAAATTCCAACATACGTGCAATAAGCTAATATCATCGGTCCAAGTCAGTCAGACTCTAGTCATTAGAATATCAATGCAACATTTTATTATGACGATTTTCTTTCTTCTTGATATAGCACCTTGTGAGCCTCCCTATCTTAGATAACACTGGTGCCACAGTCCCTGCAGCCTTACGTTTGTAGACAGTTGGAGAAACCTTGTGATAAACACTATGTGGAGTCTGGACACAGAATGTGTGAGCAGGGCGGACATAGGAAAGCATTTTGTGTTTACCAATGAGCTAATGGTGTTTGCACTGGGTTTTTTTTTTTTTTTTGGGGTGGTTTCCAAAAACCGAGCACAATGAATTGATGTTGTCTGGCAGAATGAATGTTTCTACTTTATTAAATGGGACATGGTAATAAATGAAATGCTTATGTAATGGATGGAACTTTGCCATAAAGTTAATGTAACAAAGCCTTAGATGACCGATATGAAAAAACAACCACTAGTGCCCTCATTTGACTTTTTTATGGTTAGAGAAAAACAATGATTTGAGTTTACCAATAAGCCTGTACTGTATGACAACAGTTACTTCTCTATATTTATGTTATTGGATAAATATTGTTTTTTCATAATCAATTGTTACTAATAAACCACTGTTTGTGTATATTCTTCGTGTCTTTCATTTTTTTAAATTGCCATCTAGCTTTTTAGTTTGCTGTAGAAAAGAAGTGTCACTGTGTAGGGTTAACTTATGATTATTTTCATCTTCACGAATGTGCAATTTGTTTTCCCAGAGCTTAAGGTGGGAACCAGAAACTTTAGCTCAATAAATGACTTGAAAGATAAATTATTTGTCAAATATTGCCATTGAGTCATTGTCTGCTGGTCAAATAATTGATTAATCAACTCATTGTTTCTGTAATCTCCATTTGTAGTTTGACACTTCATAGTAGAGATGACAGCTAACAGCAGAATAAATAACTGTGCTTAGTGCTGTTACCTGCGGACGTCTCCAAAGGAGCTCATGCATTAATGACACTCACCTGAGTAAAAGATCATCATTAAGAATTAACTAATGAAGTAGTGGTTCTGCTGGGTGGCTCGATTGTTAAATATCTTTCAGTGGGACTGGAGTACCCTAGAGTCAGTTAAAATTCACCCTGCTTAAGTCTTTACCAGCTTCAAAGGTTTAACCTTTCTATGTCAAGAGTTCAACAAATCCCTGCAATAAATCTCTTCTTCATGAAGGTTAAATATTTGGTTATATCAGTTATTGTTCAAACTTGTGCAGAGGTGAATTTATTTAACTTCATGGTCCACTTTTGAGGCTGTAGTTAGAGGTGCTGTTAAGCTGTATTGCATAATACTGATATTCTGTCTAAATTGGTGGCTACCAATCTTTTTAAGGTTTTGACACCCTAAATGAGACTCTTTCACAGGATATGTCCTTAGTGAAGCCATGAAAGTGTTAAATTGTTTAATTTTGAGAGTTTTTGGAAGTCTGAAGAGATGAAAATATCTACACAAGGAAAAATAATCAATATTTAGATAAGAATTCTGCTCTCCAATATAATGATTATTTTTCCTTGTGTACACACACACACACACTGCAATAGTAATGGTAACTGGTAATGTCTCCCAGCCTGTGGGCTACTGCATTCTGGGATACGGTCAATTCCTTCAAAACCCGAGAGACCATAAATAAGAAGAACAGATGATTGATGGATACGCAGTATATCAACAACAAGATGAGTAAATGTTTTCTTTTTCAGAGACTGAAGAAACCATGTGTGTGTTATGTTGAACTCAAGCGAGAGTGCTACAGAAAACAGAGATTATCAGAAATGCTTTCACACCTGTGGGCTTGTTTATCACACATACACACAGAGCGATGGATCATACATACCAATGGATGATTAATCCCTCCTTATTGATGTGTCCTATAATGAGCTTTTTCAATCCCCTCCCTCCCTGGGGAACGCAGACTTGCATCAGCTAATTAATGAGCATACAGGGGGGAATTTAGGTCACAAGGAGGGCTGGGGAGAAGAGAACGAGAGGGGAATAAGTGGCACCGGCCTCGATCGATACATCACGGGGAGGAAAGCGGAGGGCCAAAAAATGAGGTGAATGAGTACGGGCTTCCAGGATATTAGAGTCTTTTGACAGAAAGACAAGGTTGACAGTGAACAAGAGGTGCCACAGTGCAGGTGTGTTGGCGGACAATGACCCCACTCTGGGCTAAATTACTGTGACAGGCAGCAAGAGATTTGGAGAGCCATTTATGGAAATATTGTGGCAGGGGAAGGGAGAAACAAGGGGAAGTCTCTGCCCTTAAACAGACGGACAGTTTGATTTATAGAAGGTCATATGAAGCAGTCCAGAGCCACATACATACACGCACTATATCTCTCCCTTTCCATCCATACAGCGTTGCTCTTTTCCCGCCCTCCCTCCCTCTGGTTTAATCATCTCTTATTCTTCTTCCCCTCCCTACAGGCTTTTGGAAAATGGGGACAAAAAGGACTTAAACAGGTAAGTGGGTCACACTTTTTGTTGCTGTAGTGAAAGCACCTCTGTGACGTGTGAATACAAAAATAGAGTGTCAACACACAGATAGGTCCCCGTGCAAAAATGCATTAGCACTACCTACTGAAGCTAAAACAATTCCCAAATAACATTTACTTCAAAGTCATTACATGAAGGTGATGAAATAATTAATTTAAACTGAACTGAATTGAATATAATATGTAACATAGGAGTCAATTCATCCATTTACAATTTTCCAATTAACTTCAACAATTTTTAAAATCCCATTTTAACAAATTAGAAAATAGAATTGTTTTTAGACATAGCGGCATGCCTCTAGTAATAGCAATGTCAGTCTACCACTTTTGTAATTATGAGATTAAAATATCATAACATTTTATAGATTATTGCTCTCAAATTCTGTACAACAATTCATGGACCCCAAAGGATGAATCCTACTGACTTTGGACTGCAATGACATTTGGAGGATATCCATGGTGCTGAGACGAGGAATCTTAATCACTTTTCACCACCAGCAGGTATCCAGTTTAAATATCTCAACATCTAGATCGATCGGCAATAAAACATTCATGACCATGAACAGACATTCATGGTCCCCTGAGGATGAAACATCAGCATGTTAGCATTGTCATTGTGAGCATGTTGTCATGCTGATGTTATTTAGACCTCAAACCAATGCTGTCCCTGAGTTCATGCTAGCATTTAGACAGTCTTAGACAGACTAAACAGTTACTCCAAAAAAATCAATAGATTAATCAATAATGTAAATAAGAATTACTTGGTCATATAATTGATCTCCAACAACTCACTGCAATTACTTACTTTCTATATGTCCCACTGCAGCTATTTAGTTATCACTGTGCTGAGACAGATACAAACAATCATCAAGACATATTTAAGCCTGTGAGAATCCCATTAATGAGTAATATCCATAAATTCTTTGGAGCCGCTGGGGAACAATTATATGCATACATAAGACACAAATAAAACTCTTCACACTGAAGTACCATTCCCAGTTATGCCAACACCTAACCTACCTGAATGTTTGCATTTTCAAGTGAAATTAAAGAAGAATTAGGAGAGAGAAAGCTGTGTTAGAATATTTTTAGTCCTAACAAAAAGGATGCAGATTCAGGTTGGACTACTCTTGGGATTCTCCACTAAAGTACATGATTCATTTCTGACTGATTTTAAGTGGAGGCCTCACAGCTGTAATAATTCTGCTGTAGTCACTTCTCTTCACTACCCTCGAGTTCAGAGCTCTGTCAGCCTGCAGCTACTACTTGTGTAAACCTTTCCCTCTCAATGTGACTGCGCCATCCATAACATGAGACATGTGCTTTGTTCCAGCTCAGAAGCAGCAGCCTATGCCAACATGTTCCCTTCTTAGTGAAAAGCTCTTGATAGATGTGATTCTCCTAACTGCAGCACCAAGCCTCATTTGAGGTAAAATTGTGTTGCAGAGTAATATCTGGCTGAGTAGTGTTTTATTGCACATAATCTGTTTGGTATGTATACATGCGTGTGTGTTTGATGTTCCTGTTTGCAGTTCTGCACAGATTGAATGTTTTCAAAAGATTTTTTTGTTTTTTTTGTCAGCAGCTACACATATTAGTGGTGTAAATATATCTATTCACTAGAATAAAGTGACTGCAACTGCAAACGAGATAATAAAACAGAATGTTAAAAACCATTTTGAAATCGTTCCTGCCGAGGGTGGAGCAAAAGGTGCAGCGACCCTGTAGAAAGCATTTTCACATGGGACGTCTAATTGTTTTAATTTACCTCCCTGCTTTTCTTACCTCGCTGTAAAAAACAATGCAAGAAAAAGAGCAAAGAGAACAGGCCAAAGGAGATGGCTCCAGATTAATCAGATGGTTATAGAAAAACTAAATCTGAGATTTGAGAAGCTGATTTCGTTAAAGCATGTTCTATTAAACTGTATCTCAGTGTGATGAGTGCTCATGATTTAAATGGAAATTATTCATTGATTACTAAATCAACAGGGAATTAATTATTATATTCAAACTAGTTTGATAATCGATCAATCAGTTAAAAAATACCAAACATTTTCTGGTTACAGCTTCTGAAATGTGAGAATTTGCTTCTTTTTCTCTGGTTTATATCATTTTAAATTGAATTTAATTAAAATGTGTGTCTTTTGCAAGTGCTGGTCGGACAAGATGCAATTTGAGGGGAGCCATGCACCATGGACTCATGGTGAAAGGCGTTTTTCATATTTTACAGACTAAATGGTTAATCAATAATAAAAATGAGATGGAATTTCACTACAAACATTCCAGTTAACCAAAAACTCACACTAAATCTTAAGATTTAAGCAGAATTACAGTGTGCAAAAGCAGAATGAAGCTTGACTCTCACTATAAGTGGCAAAGCAATGGTACCTTAAAATTCCCAGCAATAATAAGTGTTGGTTGAGTCATGTACAGAAACTAAATGCCAAGATTTGCTTTGTGTCAGAGATGAAAGCTCCAATAGAGGACAAAGTAATTTTTCACAAAAACCTACAGCTTGCTTCGTCAGCTCTGGGCTCAGTGGGTTGAGGGTCCAGTAATTTAAGGTTTTCTGTTATCTCTAGATTTATTTATTTATTTATTTTGTCTAAGTTTCCATCTCTCTCAGCGTGAGTCAGTTGATCACTGCCGCAGGCCTGTACAGGATGGGGCGATAAGAAGGAAATGAGATTGTCTGTTCTACCAGTACGGACATTATCAACCAGGGTTGTTTTTTTTTAGCAGTTTTTCTAGTATGTGGGGCCACTGAGGTGATG